TGCCATTAAACTGGGCAAGAGTAATTTCAGCGCAGTGATGGCCGCCGTTTATCAAAAATATTTTGCTTTTGAACAGAATAAATTGTATCGTTTAATTTATTTTTTTGTAGACAAATAAGTGGCATCATCTATATATCAGATGATTATTAAGCACCACATTCCCACTGTTGTTGGTATATCTCTTGCTTATTATTACAGACATGGAGAAGCACTAAACCTAGGGAACATCATCAGGGTTAGTAAGTGGAAAGGAGGGGGGTAGCTCCATTTCCAAGGATCAAGAGCATCAATGCATACCTTTGAGGGTACTCGTAATGTTCAGGTATAATTTAGTGTGCGGAGGGTCCTTAGGGCTCTTGATCCAGACTTGGAGATATTCTTTCCTTCCTTGGTTTAAACTTGATTTCCTTTCATTCCTAAGAAGCTGTGTGAGTCCCAACAGGTTTAGCACTTGCCCATGATAATAGTCTACAACCTTAGCCTTTCTTGTAGCAAAATGGCTTGAGTGGCAGGTATCACCAGGAAGGATGAGACTCACCATTATCAATGGTAACATCACCACTGCCAATATTACATCACCATACAGTTGGAATAATAAGTCAGTACCGTGGCTGAAACAGCTAAAAAAGATAACCACAATTAAGAGAGGAATTTTACAACTACGTTTCGGTTATTCCTGGACCATTGTTAAGTCACAACTGTTGTGGCTTGACAGTAGTCCAGGACATATTGAAACGTCGTCAAAAGACTCCTCTCTTAATTAAGTACGAGTTTTTGGTGGACAGTGGATAGGTTTAAGATCTACACACAGTCCATTCCTGGCTATCAGTTTTAGTGAAATTCGGTATGCAATGTGAACTGGTGTAAGGTGTATATTCATTCGTAAGTGTGTATTATAAGAAAGGTAGACGCATATGGACGGCTCCAGCAACACACAGATGCAGGAAGGTGGCTTTAGCAACACAGATGCACAAGGGCGGCTCCTGCAACAGATAAAAGATGGCGACTCTAACAACACAGATGCAGGAGGGCGGTTCCTGCAACACATACCTGAGTATCTTTTCTGGCTGGTAGGAGCCACAGACTATAACCAGTGTGTTCAGACTCAGTCGCTTCTCACATGTAAAGAATTAATAATGGCGATCACGCAGCTTGACGCGGCCAGTAACTGCAGGGGCGGGTGCAAGATGGCGCACGTCACAGCAGCGTAGTTGTGAAACTCGACATTTATGGTTGAAAGTGTGGCGGGATGGGTGGCCCCTAGCCAGGTCTTACCCACCATCACCCTCTCACACTCCTCGCCTGAGTTTCAAGCTTATCCTCGTGTCATTCTAAGTCTCCAAGAACCTTGTAGCGTCATTGTTTTCCGATGTATAGGCGTCTTCTGTCACCACACCTGTAGTCACACTGGTAGCCAGGCGTCAGCTGTCGCCACACTTGTAGCCAGGCGTCAACTGTCACCACACTTGTAGCCACGCGTCAACTGTCGCCACACTTGTAGCCAGGCGTCAGCTGTCGCCACACTTGTAGCCAGGCGTCAACTGTCACCACACTTGTAGCCAGGCGTCAACTGTCACCACACTTGTAGCCAGGCATCAACTGTCGCCACACTTGCAGCCAGGCGTCAACTGTCACCACACTTGTAGCCACGCATCAACTGTCGCCACATTTGTAGCCACGCATCAACTGTCGCCACATTTGTAGCCAGGTGTCAACTGTCGCCACATTTGTAGCCATGTGTCAACTGTCGCCACATTTGTAGCCATGTGTCAACTGTCACCACATTTCTAGCCATGTGTCAACTGTCGCCACATTTGTAGCCACGCATCAACTGTCGCCACATTTGTAGCCATGTGTCAACTGTCGACACATTTGTAGCCACGCGTCAACTGTCACCACGCTTGTAGCCACGCGTCAACTGTCGCCACGTTTGTAGCACGGTCAACTGTCGCCACTTGTAGCACGCGTCAACTGTCGCCACATTTGTAGCCATGTGTCAACTGTCCCACTTTGTAGCCACGCGTCAACTGTCGCCACATTTGTAGCCATGTGTCAACTGTCACCACGCTTGTAGCCACGCGTCAACTGTCGCCACATTTGTAGCCATGTGTCAACTGTCACCACGCTTGTAGCCACGCGTCAACTGTCGCCACATTTGTAGCCATGTGTCAACTGTCGCCACATTTGTAGCCACGCGTCAACTGTCGCCACATTTGTAGCCACGCGTCAACTGTCGCCACATTTGTAGCCATGTGTCAGCTGTCGCCACATTTGTAGCCACGCGTCAACTGTCGCCACATTTGTAGCCATGTGTCAGCTGTCGCCACATTTGTAGCCATGTGTCAACTGTCACCACACTTATAGCCACGTGTCAACTGTCACCACCCTTGACCCCCGGAGCTCTCTCCAGGTAAACTCCAGGTAAACACTTGTAGCCACGCGTCAGCTGTCACCACACTTCTAGCCATGTGTCATCTGTCGCCACATTTGTAGCCATGTGTCAGCTGTCGCCACATTTGTAGCCATGTGTCAACTGTCACCACATTTGTAGCCATGTGTCAACTGTCACCACATTTGTAGCCATATGTCAGCTGTCGCCACATTTGTAGCCATGTGTCATCTGTCGCCACATTTGTAGCCATGTGTCAGCTGTCGCCACATTTGTAGCCATGTGTCAGCTGTCGCCACATTTGTAGCCATATGTCAGCTGTCGCCACATGTTTAGTAGACCATGTGTCAGCTGTCGCCACATTTGTAGCCATGTGTCAGCTGTCGCCACATTTGTAGCCATGTGTCAACTGTCGCCACATTTGTAGCCATATGTCAACTGTCACCACACTTGTAGCCACGCGTCATCTGTCACCACACTTGTAGCCACGCGTCAACTGTCACCACACGTGTATCCATGCGTCAGCTGTCACCACACTTATAGCCACGTGTCAACTGTCACCACCCTTGACCCCCGGAGCTCTCCAGGTAAACTCCAAGTAAACACTTGTAGCCAGGCGTCAACTGTCACTACACTTGTAGCCACGTGTCAACTGTCACCACACTTGTAGCCACGCTCAACTGTCCCACACTTGTAGCCAGCTTCAACTGTCACCACACTTGTAGCCATGCGTCAGCTGTCACCACACTTTAGCCACGCGTCAACTGTCACCACACCTTGTACCCGCTCAACCATGTAACCCAGTAACACTTGTAGCCAGGCGTCAACTGTCACCACACTTGTAGCCACGTGTCAACTGTCACCACACTTGTAGCCACGCATCAACTGTCACCACACTTGTAGCCACGCTCAACTGTCACCCCACTTGTAGACACGCGTCAACTGTCACCACACTTGTAGCCATGCTCAACTGTCACCACACTTGTAGCCACGCTCAGCTGTCGCCACACTTGTAGACACGCTCAACTGTCGCCCTAGTTGTAGCCATACATCATCTGTCACCACACTTGTAGCCGCGCTCAACTGTCACCACACTTGTAGACACGCGTCAACTGTCACCACACTTGTAGCCACGCTCAGCTGTCACCACACTTGTAGCCACGCTCAACTGTCGCCACACTTGCAACCACGCGTCATCCTTCACCACACTTGTAGCCATACGCCAACTGCCACCACACTTGTAACCACGCGTCATCCGTCACCACACGTGTAGCCATGCGTCAACTGTCACCACTTGTTACGGGTCATCCGTCACCACACTGTAGCCATGCATCAGCTGTCACCACAGTTGTAGCCATGCGTCAGTGTCACCACACTTGCGCAGCCGTGCGTCAACTGTCACCACACTTGTAGTCACGGGTCATCCGTCACCACACTGTAGCCATGCATCAGCTGTAACCACACGTGTAGTCATGCGTCAATGTCACCACACTTGCGTAGCCATGTGTCAGCTGTCACCACACTTGGGCAGCCGTGCGTCAACTGTCGCTACACTTGTAGCCACGCGTCATCCGTCACCACACGTGTAGTTATGCATCAACTGTCATTACATTTGTAGCCACGCGTCATCCGTCACCACACTTGTAGCCATGCGTCAGCTGTCACCACACTTGTAGCCATGCGTCAGATGTCACCACACTTGCGCAGCCACTCGCCAACTGTCACACTTGCGCAGCCATGTGTCAACGGTCGCCACACTTGCGCATGCATGCGTCAACTGTCGCCACACTTTCGCAGCCATGTGTCAACGGTCGCCACACTTGCGCATTCATGCGTTAACTGTCGCCACTTGCGCAGCCATGCGTCGACTGTCGCCACACTTGCGCAGCCACGCGTCAACGGTCGCCACACTTGCGCAGCCATGCGTCGACTGTCGCCACACTTACGCAGCCACGCGTCAACGGTCGCCACACTTCGAGCGCCACACTTGTCGAGTCACGCGTCAACTGTCTGAACCTTTCTATAATTTCCTCCATCTATTTGTTTACATTATGCTGTTAAAAGCACAGGGATTCTGTTGCTCTTCTCTCTAAACTGTTGCAAGTAATGTCATGAAGGAAGTGTGAAACAGGTTGAGTGTAAGATGCTGATTGGCATTCCAAAGCACGTAGAGAATGACGAAGGAAAACGCGGATACAGCACCACTACTTGGGGATTTGGTAGCTCGTATGAGGTAGTCTATGTAATAACAGTAAAATTACACTCGTTTACCCTCCCGTGCACCTGTTAGATGGTCAGGTGACGCACCTGCAGCCAGGACGTGGGATCGTCCCTGTGGTAACAGGTGATAATGGTCACGTTGGCGCGTCCGCAACCAGGTGAGGGTTACGTCAGTAGTACGCGTCGGTGTAATAATGGTTCAAGATTATGTGGTTAGAAAACTGAAAGTGGGGTTGTGGAGCCAGTCTGGGGGATCACCTTGTTTCCGTGGAGGGGAAGTGGCGGACCACACCACCACTACACTCTCACTACACCACACACCCATCATGTACCCACTACAGTATGGATAAATAATTCTAAATATCCTCGCTTACGCCATACGGGTACAGTGATATAGATCTAGTAGTCTAGAGCATTATAAAATCAATGATTAATGTGCTAGGTTTCGGTTTAAAGCCTTTCGACTGCATGAACATGAACACTGTGATTCACCTTTATAGTTATATAAACAGTACCTAAATTCCTAAAATTGGGATTAACGTAAACCCGGTATATATACATCACTGGTGTATATAGTCTGGGGCACCTTAGTATAGAAACAAAGATATACAGGTCTGTAAATACCATGATATATATACAACTCTTTGTATATACATATATTCAACGTGAAGAAGTATAGTAAGTGGTGATGGTCGAGTAATGGGGGAGGGAGGGAGTGGGAGAGCATGGTAATAAGTGGGCAACACTTCCGCTATTACATCCGCCCCTGCCTGACTGCAGTCTCTCTGATCTACCCCACCCCGAGAATCAACCCCTCCCCCGACCATCCACACCCCTCCGCCAATACCACTCTCAACCATCCCCACCTCTCAGTCCATACCACCACCCCATTATCTACAAATAGATAATCTTCAATATTAATTCCCTGGGAGAGAGAGAGAGAGAGAGAGAGAGAGAGAGAGAGAGGAAAGAACCATCATAATAACAACGATGCACCCACGCGTAACGCTTTTTTTTTTTTCATTGTCAAAAATACATCATTACTTTTGTGTCGTCAGATGCGTTCACGTGTTGGTATGTATGTCATAAATGACAATCCCCTCCCCTCTAACCCCTCCATTGGCGTAAATGTAAGTATGTGTGTGCGTATACACCACCAACCCAAGATTTCTGTTCATTTAAGTTTGCTCTGCCCATAATTTACTAATGCTCGCGTTTGACAGCATCCATGTTGGTTTTCTGGTAGTCATCTATATGCATATGTGGGAGTAGTAAAGGCCTCGAAACTCGAAATGTATATCAGAGGTGTGTGTGTCGCACAGCTCGTGGGAACGCAATATCTGGTCGTTACACTTCCGGAGGCTACCAAGATACCTCCCCACCCACTTTCAATCTCCCCCCCCCCATACCTGTTTATTTTTAGCAAAATTGGCTACATCAGCAGTTTTCTGCTACCCACTTCTGTATGATAATTACATAGTGAGAAGAAAACTTGCTGTTTTCCTGTCGTATTCCATCTCGCAGGATAGATTTCATACATGCCAAAATCTTTCAACGTGAGGCGGGAGACTTAAGTATGGCAATGAGGATATCAAGTATTCCATTAAAGGTTCATCATCTACGGGAGCTTCAGAGGTTTTGTTCCAGCAGAGCTGGAGTTACTGTAACCGAGGATAGTCTATCACAATGCTGGGGAAACGCTAAACCCGTAGGAAAAATGTGGGTGGTTTACCCAAGATTAGCTGGGCAAGCCTAAGCTGTATTCATCATTTTATTAAGCTGCTGGGTATCCAGGCTAGTTTTGTAAAAACGCAGAGCACAACACTTTGTATACACTCATAAATGTACATATATAATATAATCGGAGTACACGAATATATGCAGTTATACAAATGCACATGTATACACCATGTGTCTAGCAGAGGCTAAAAAGGCACAATATCATGACTTGAACAAAACGCAAATAACCCCCACGTACGAGACTAACGTACGACGACGTTTCGGTCCTACTTGGTACGTTAACTTCTCCAAGTAGGACCGAAGCGTCACCATAAGTTTTCAGTCTATTATGTACGAATTTGTGTACTGTATCTAGTAGTGTACACACATAAGGGAAAAATTGTTGATGGTAACACATGCACATATATGAGGAAATATATCTTACCTGTTCTTGAGTATGACATAACCAGCACGAGTACACATATGTGAGAACAATATATGTCCTTTTTTGATGTAATATTGTACAGTGTAAGAGACAGTACCCAGTACTATGGATGAAAAGGATAGGGATACAACAGCCAACATCTTTGTGTTGTACCAACAGATGAAGCCAGGTGGTCGTGCTTCCACACCCTGGTGTGTGTTGCTCTCTCTTACCTGTGAATTTTTTTTATTTTTTTACCTATTCCTGGGTACAGAAGCAGAGCTATGTTCATGGTATCCTTTGTTTATATATATATATATATATATATATATATATATATATATATATATATATATATATATATATATAATATATATATATGTGTGTGTGTGTGTGTGTGCACACCAAAGAATTGGGTCTGCTTTCGTCTCTTCCTTGAATTGAACCTGAATGCCTCCCATTTTCCATACTGCATGAGACCTGTCATACCTATCCTTAAAGCTATGTATGGATTCTGCCTCTTACACATCTCTTAAGTCATTTTACTTCCAGACCACTCTAAGACTGAAGAATTTCCTAACATCCCTGTGACTCGTCTGTGTAGTTATGCTTTTTAACTTAAAGCTGTGACCTTGTGTACCTGCAACCTAGCTATCAGACTCTCCCTGTTAATTCTTCTGAGTTTTTTTGTACATCATAATCTCTGGTCCGTCTGACCTCAGATGTCGTCAGATTTAGCTCCTTTAGTATCTCCTCATAAGTCATACCCCGAAGCTCTGGGGCTAGTTTTGTTGCAAGCCTTCAAACTTCTTAATATGCGTAACCAGATGTAGATTCCATATTGGTGCTGCATACCCCAAGATGAATCTGACATTTGCTGTAGTGGTTATTCAGTTGAGTACCTTAGGTGAAATGCTCGGGAACTATGCTCACCCTAGGTCCTATTTCAGGGAGGTTTGCAGCTTTTGTCCTTTTAGCCTGTGCACTATTTCCAGATGTCTTTGCCCTTCTCTGATTTTCTTAACTTTGCATATGCTGGGTTTAAAGTCAAGCAGCCACTTGTCAGACCAATCCTGCAATTTATCCAGATCCATTTGTAGTCTTTCCTGACCTACTCCTGTTTGTATACTCTTCATTAGTTTCACATCATCTGCAAACAGTGACACCTCTGATTTGTCTTCTGGCACTAGAAAAAGTAGTGGAACCCACACTTTCTCATGCCTATTTCGACACTTCACTGACATTAACTCATTGCTTCCTATCCATTAAGTATTCCTTGATCTAATAGTATACCAGTACCACCGGGATGGCAATTCCCACATTAAGTGAGCCAGGCTTAGCCAACAAGAGAAGTGGGTAGCAGGCAACATTCTAAGTCATACCCTGTTGGCTGCCACATCCTGGAACCGACAGGCAGCCTCCAGAAATACTATACTCCCGTCATCCAAGGACACACAAGGCCATCCACTAGGCCCTGGAGGGCAGCCTTGCACTTCCCTACAATCCAGTTCCCATGGCAAGCACTACCACCGAGGGCCGTGTTGGAATGGGATGGATAATCCCTGTTCCCTCTGTCTAGGAGCTGAAAGCCACACGGGGGAAATATTCCAAAGTAAAGAGACTGAATGGAGAGAAGAGGGGGAGTATTTTTTTTCGATCCAAGGGAGATAAAAGGTCTGATTCCTTGGATCAAGAGTCCTTCAATACACCAAGGGAAGCCCTTTTTCCCTGAAGGGATAGATATAATCAGTTATTTCTAGCGATTGTAGTGCTTATTATCTACCTACCCTGTGCATGCACAGTGATAAATTCATGTACTAAGGTTTAATGTGATGAAATATAGTGGCTTCAGTTTGTATATTTGCTTAATAACATAGTAGGTGTACTAAGATGTATTACTTTCAGTGTGTATAGCCTCGGGAACCAAGGTGGCTCTCTTCAACCGTCTAAGATCCCAGACGGTGTCTACAAGATACCTCCACGTTGAGAATGGTAACTTCCACGCCTCCTCTACACAATGGGGCGCCTTCACCATACACTTGTGTGAGTATTACACTCCTAATATTGTTATTAACTATCTTGTACACTTATGTAAAGTATGGGTTATTCAATGCAAGAAGTGGCTAAACCCATAGGGGTTGAGCAGTGCCTAGGAAATGGGTAATCAGATTTCACAAATGGGAGAGGGAAGCTCCAATTCCCCTAATCAAGAGGCCTTCAGAAGCATGAAGGCACTACAGAAGTGAGTAATATCATTAGTTATGAACATCCATAATTATTGTTAGAGCCTTTGCTACTTTCATAATGTCTTTGCAAATTTCAGGCTAAGATCAGTGTTAATATAAGAGACATTGTGGAGTGGGGCACATTGAAAGACAGGTGGGCCTGCATTATGTAACTTGCACTTCTACCTCTCGCTTTTATCTCATTTGTTTTTTATGATTGCCTGGGAAGATTTCGCCTCTTCACCACTGAATCTAGAAAACAGAGCTTTTTAAGCATTTTACATTTACAACTACAGTAACAATTATTTCAGATGGAAGTGATATTAAAATGGCCTTGCTAGGTTTTGATTTTAAGGTCTACAGTCTGCATTGAAACTTATGATGCTGGCTGCAGAACAAACTTTTGATCATTGCAACATACGGCAACAGATAGTTGTATTATTATTATTATTATTATTATTATTATTATTATAATCAAGGGGGAAGCACTAAACCTGTAGGATTATACAGTACCTGTGGGGAGGGATGGAAAGTATTCAGGCTTAATTCATGGAACTGGAGCACAGATCCAGTTCCCTAGATCAAGATCCCCCTTACTAGCATCAAGGAACCTTCCTTGAGGGGGAACAGATGGTTGTAGACTTTATAGAAATGTTGGGAAAACTTACACCAATTGCAAGTAGGGCCACACAGCTTCAAGAGTGGGCTCATCCACCTTTGGGTCGAACTCTGGTACGCTCAGTGAAGCTCAGATGATGGTGTATTAGATGGATAATAATGTTAGAAGTGGACAGTGTTTTGTTCTCTGCTCTAGAGGTGAAGCAGAGAACAAAACAATGTCCTCTTCTGATATTATTTTCCATCACATATGCCATCATCAAACACAGAGCAGAGTTCAATCATTAGGTGTATAAAAGTCCAGACTTAACCATCTGCTACCAATGTTTAAAAGATCAAAAATTTGTCCTGCAGCTGGCATGACTTTCCATGCAGACTGTAAAGCCAGTCTACAATATTCACAGCCACAATTATTAAGGCCATAATCCAGCTACTAACAACCATCAGTTATCCTTTAACCCCTAATACATTAAGTAATAAAGTTAGCTCTCAGTATATCATGTCTTGCTCTTTAGTCAAATGGTAAATAATATGTATTGAAATACATTGGGTAGGTTTTGTTTTTATTGTGTTGTTTGGGTAGGATTAAGCTAATTATGTTAGACTGCTAAGTTAGTTTGTGTAAAATTTAAAATTTGTATACAAAGTAATGTTAAATCACACCAAATCTTTCATTATTTGATGTATCTACTCACAATACTGTATATCATTCACTTGATTTAATCCCCTTCCTTCCATTCTGACTTCTATTCTTAATTTCCCATGTAGCACTGTTTATATTCTTGACAAGGCTTTGACAAGTTCTTTTCTGTTGTAGGGGATACTGGAGCACAATATATTAGAAAAAGGTCACAAATTATAAAAGTTTCAGCTCATCTGCTAGTGTCAAGTGGAACAGGACTGATGCAGATTTAGCTTAAATAGTATCATTAATGATGCATGTAGTCTAAAAGTGTATATCAGTGGCCCAAAAAGCATGGCATGGTCTTGGAATGTAACAGTGATTTAAGTGCCAACCTTTGATATCAGAATCTTGAATTCTGTTGATGTAATCCTTCATTATGTTAGTCAACTTTTCTTCAACAGTGGATGATAATGAGAGCGAGAGGTGAAGAGTTTAGCGTTCGGGATGGCTATATTCACTACGGTTCTACAGTGAAGCTGGTGTGTGCTGTAACGGGTATGGCGCTTCCAAGACTCATAATTCGCAAGGTTGATAAACAAACTGCACTCCTTGATGCAGATGACCCAGTTTCCCAACTTCACAAATGTGCCTTCTATATGAAGGACACAGAACGCATGTACCTCTGTCTCAGCCAGGAACGTATCATTCAGTTTCAGGTAAGAAAGCATTTCCTTAGTATTTTATACGTACAGCCTCTCCTCACTTAACAGAGTTCCTTTCCTAAGACAGCGTCGTTAAACGAATTCGTCACTAAGTGAGGAGCATACTATAATGGTAGTGGGTATGTGTCAACCATCTTTGATATTATTTTAATGTCACCTTCGCACCATTTATAACATTTCTGGCATATTTTTAAATGTTCATACAGTAGTGTACTGTATGTTGTAATAAACAGAACAGAAGAAATCAGCTCTTATATACATTATTTAGGTATGCATACTGGTCAGGGAGCCCGTCGTAAGTCCAAGTTGTCGGTAAACGAGTACAGTGGTCCCTCGCTTTTCATAGTTCTCGGCAATCGTAAATTTCGGAAATCATAGGGATATTTTCGTATAAACATGGGCTCGCTTTTCATAGGTTGACTCGCAAGTCGTAGTTCGTCTGGGACGCGTACCCACAGCGTGAGCCGTGGCGGCAGCCAGTCTGGCATTGTTACCAGTGAGCAAAGGTCCCCTCACGTGCTCCAGCAAAATATTTCATAATATTCCATTTATTTTAGTGCTTGCAAGTACTAAATAAGCTACCATGGCTCCAAAGAAAGGTCCTAGTGGCAAGCCTGTGGTAAAGAAGGTGAGAAATACGATTGAATTTAAGAAAACCATCATTGAACAATATGAAAGTGGTACAAGTGTGGCCAAACTGGCCAGGATGTATAAGAAACCCTACACAACCTTATGTTCCATAGTGGCCAAGAAAAAGGAAATCAAGGACGCTGTTGTTACAAAGGGGGTAACTATGCTGACAAAAATGAGATCACCAGTACTTGAAGAGGTTGAGAAGTTATTATTGGTGTGGATAAATGAGAAACAATTAGCAGGAGATACTCTTATGACTCCGATTATTTGTGAAAAGGCTAGGCAGTTGCATGACGATTTGGTAAAGAAATTGCCTGCAACTAGTGGTGATGTGAGTGAATTTAAGGCCAGCAAAGGCTGGTTTGAGAGATTTAAGAACCGTACTGGCATACACAGTGTGGTAAGGCATGGTGAGACTGCCAGTTCGGACCACAAGGCGGCTGAAAAATATGTGCATGAATTCAAGGAGTACATAGAGGCTGAAGGACTGAAACCTGAACAAGTGTTCAATTGTAACGAAACAGGCCTCTTTTGGAAGAAAATGCCAAAGAGGACCTTCATTACACAGGAGGAAAAGGCAATGCCAGGACACAAGCCTATGAAAGACAGGCTGACGCTAATGTTCTGTGCTAATGCTAGTGGGGATTTCAAAGTGAAGCCATTACTAGTGTACCATTCTGAAAATTCCAGAGTGTTCAGGAAAAACAATGTTATGAAGAGTAAATTGTGTGTGTTTTGGAAATCTAATAGTAAGGCATGGGTCACGAGGGAAATTTTTGTCGAGTGGTTCAATGAAGTGTTTGGCCCTAGTGTGAAGGAGTATCTCCTGAAAAAGAAATTGGATCTCAAGTGCCTGCTAGTAATGGACAATGCACCTGCTAAATCCTCCAAACTTGGATGACCTAATTTTCGAGGAGTTTGGGTTCATCACAGTAAAGTTCTTGCCCCCGAATACCAATCCTCTCCTCCAGCCCATGGACCAGCAGGTTATTGCAAACTTTAAAAAACTCTACACAAAAGCAATGTTTCACAGGTGCTTGACTGTGACCACAGACACTCACTTGACCCTAAGGGAATTTTGGAGAAAACACTTCAGCATCCTCCATTGCATAACCCTTATAGGTATGGCTTGGGAGGGAGTGACTACCAGGACTTTGAACTCTGCCTGGAGAAAATTGTGGCCAGATTGTGTCAACAAGAGGGATTTTGAAGGGTTTGGGACTGACCCTGATGAGCCTATGTCTGTTGTAAAATCAATTGTGGCACTAGGGAGTTCCATGGGGTTGGATGTGAGTTTGGAGGATGTGGAAGAATTGGTGGAAGACCATAACGAAGAGCTCACCACTGAGGAGCTGCAAGAGCTTCAGCAGGAAGAGCAACAGATCGCAGCTCAGAATCTTGCTGCAGAGGAGGAGGAAGAGAGATGGAAGAAGGTGCCTTCTTCAGAAATTAAAGAGATTTTTACTATTGGTATGGGTGGATAACAATGGCAAGCTGTTGGCAAACATTCCCCCTGAACAAGGTTTTGCAAGGCAATGTTGAGCAAACACTCTTGGACAGTTATTTTGCGAGACAGGACTCCAGTGACTTCAAGGTGGTCCTAGTGGCATTAGGAAACGAGAAGAGAGCAACCCCAGAAAACAATGTACCTGAGGTGTTGATGGAAGGGTTGATGGACAGTTATTTTGCGAGACAGGACTCCAGTGACTCTCAAGGTGGTCCTAGTGGCATTAAGAAACAGAGAAGAGAAGCAACCCCAGAAAAACAAATGGTACCTGAGGTGTTGATGGAAGGGGATTCCCCTTCCAAACTATAAACAATCCACTCTCTCTCCTCCTCCAGTCTCCCATACACTAAGAAGAATCTCCAATAAAGGTAAGTGTTATGCTGTTAATGTTTCATTCATCATTTCCCATTGTATTGTTTATGTACTACATGTATATTTCATGTAAAAATTTTTTTTGTTTTAATACTTCTGGGTGTCATGAATGGATTAATTGTATTTACATTATTTCTTATGGGGAAAATTGATTCGCAAATCGTAAATTTCGTTTATAGTAGCTCCTCCTGGAATGGATTAATTACGAAAAACGAGGGGCCACTGTACGTCGGTGAATGAGGAGAGGCTGTATACAAAATATGTTAAAGATTATTCTGTTATTCAATATACTATGTCTTCTTTCTTTCAACAAACCGGCCGTATCCCACCGAGGCAGAGTGGCCCAAAAAAGAAAAACTAAAGCTTTGTTTTTAAATTTAGTAATATATATCAACAAATTTTGTTGAAAATAAGAAAAAGTTTTGGAGTGAGATTAACAAGTTAAGAAAGCCTAGAGAACAAATGGATTTGTCAGTTAAAAATAGGAGAGGAGAGTTATTAAATGGAGAGTTAGAGGTATTGGGAAGATGGAGGGAATATTTTGAGGAATTGTTAAATGTTGATGAAGATAGGGAAGCTGTGATTTCGTGTATAGGGCAAGGAGGAATAACATCTTGTAGGAGTGAGGAAGAGCCAGTTGTGAGTGTGGGGGAAGTTCGTGAGGCAGTAGGTAAAATGAAAGGGGGTAAGGCAGCCGGGATTGATGGGATAAAGATAGAAATGTTAAAAGCAGGTGGGGATATAGTTTTGGAGTGGTTGGTGCAATTATTTAATAAATGTATGGAAGAGGGTAAGGTACCTAGGGATTGGCAGAGAGCATGCATAGTTCCTTTGTATAAAGGCAAAGGGGATAAAAGAGAGTGCAAAAATTATAGGGGGATAAGTCTGTTGAGTATACCTGGTAAAGTGTATGGTAGAGTTATAATTGAAAGAATTAAGAGTAAGACGGAGAATAGGATAGCAGATGAACAAGGAGCTTTAGGAAAGGTAGGGGTGTGTGGACCAGGTGTTTACAGTGAAACATATAAGTGAACAGTATTTAGATAAGGCTAAAGAGGTCTTTGTGGCATTTATGGATTTGGAAAAGGTGTATGACCAGGGTGGATAGGGGGCAATGTGGCAGATGTTGCAAGTGTATGGTGTAGGAGGTAGGTTACTGAAAGCAGTGAAGAGTTTTTACGAGGATAGTGAGGCTCAAGTTAGAGTATGCAAGGAAAGAGGAAATTTTTCCCAGTAAAATAGGCCTTAGACAAGGATGTGTGATGTCACCGTGGTTGTTTAATATATTTATAGATGGGGTTGTAAGAGAAGTAAATGCGAGGGTCTTGGCAAGAGGCGTGGATTAAAGATAAAGAATTACACACAAAGTGGGAGTTTGTCACAGCTGCTCTTTGCTGATGACACTGTGCTCCTTGGGAGATTCTGAAGAGAAGTTGCAGAGATTGGTGGATGAATTTGGTAGGGTGTGCAAAAGAAGAAAATTAAAGGTGAATACAGGAAAGAGTAAGGTTATGAGGATAACAAAAAGATTAGGTGATGAAAGATTGGATATCAGATTGGAGGGAGAGAGTATGGAGGAGGTGAACGTATTCAGATATTTGGGAGTGGACGTGTCAGCGGATGGGTCTATGAAAGATGAGGTGAATCATAGAATTGATGAGGGAAAAAGAGTGAGTGGTGCACTTAGGTGTCTGTGGAGACAAAGAACTTTGTCCTTGGAGGCAAAGAGGGGAATGTATGAGAGTATAGTTTTACCAACGCTCTTATATGGGTGTGAAGCGTGGGTGATGAATGTTGCAGCGAGGAGAAGGCTGGAGGCAGTGGAGATGTCATGTCTGAGGGCAAGTGTGGTGTGAATATAATGCAGAGAATTCGTAGTTTGGAAGTTAGGAGGAGGTGCGGGATTACCAAAACTGTTGTCCAGAGGGCTGAGGAAGGTTGTTGAGGTGGTTCGGACATGTAGAGAGAATGGAGCGAAACAGAATGACTTCAAGAGTTGTATCAGTCTGTAAGTGAAGGAAGGTGGGGTAGGGGTCGCCTAGGAAAGGTTGGAGGGAGGGGGTAAAGGAGGTTTTGTGTGCGAGGGGCTTGGACTTCCAGCAGGCATGCGTGAGCGTGTTTGATAGGAGTGAATGGAGACAAATGGTTTTTAATACTTGACGTGCTGTTGGAGTGTGAGCAAAGTAACATTTATGAAGGGATTCAGGGAAACCGGCAGGCCGGACTTGAGTCCTGGAGATGGGAAGTACAGTGCCTGCACTCTGAAGGAGGGGTGTTAATGTTGCAGTTTAAAAACTGTAGTGTAAAGCACCCTTCTGGCAAGACAGTGATGGAGTGAATGATGGTGAAAGTTTTTCTTTTTCGGGCCACCCTGCCTTGGTGGGAATCGGCCAGTGTGATAATAATAATAAAAAATACAGGAGAAGGGGTTACTAACCCCTTGCTCCCAGCATTTTAGTCACCTCTTACAACACACATGGCTTACTGAGGAAGAATTCTGTTCCACTTTCCCATGGAGATTCAGTGTATATTCTTCTTTCTTTCAACGTACCAGCTGTATCCCACTGAGGTGGGGTGGCCCAAAATGAAAAACGAAAGTTTCTCCTTTTAAATTTAGTAATATATACAGGAGAAGGGGTTACTAGCCCCTTGCTCCCAGCATTTTAGTCGCCTCTTACGACATGCATGGCTTACAGAGGAAGAATTCTGTTCCACTTCCCCATGGAGATAAGAGGAAATAAACAAGAACAAGAAATAGAAAGAAAATAGAAGAAAACCCAGAGGGGTATGTATAATATATATATGCTTGTACATGCATGTGTAGTGTGACCTAAGTGTAAGTAGAAGTAGCAAGATGTACCTGAAATCTTGCATGTTTAAGAGACAGAAAAAAGGACACCAACAATCCTACCATCATGTAAAATAATTATAGGCTTTTGTTTTACACTCACTTGGCAGGATGGTAGTACCTCCCTGGGCAGTTGCTGTCTACCAACCTACTACCTAATTCAGTGTATATATAATGATAAATACTGTGTACAGTATATTCTGCATTGTCTTGCAAGTGACTGTATGGTATACTATATGCTAACAGGATTATTCCAAAAGAGTTAATGTATATAAATTATTTTCTCAGTTTCAAAAGCATGTGCTTTTTACCATTGAACAGGCAACTCCGTGTCCTAAGGAAGCTAATAAGGAGATGATCAATGATGGTGCATCTTGGACGATCATCAGTACAGACAAAGCAGAGTATCAGTTCTATGAAGGCATGGGACCAGTGCGTGCACCAGTCACTCCAGTACCTATTGTCAACTCCCTACATGTAAGCCACCACAACTGACAGCATTTTCCTATTTACAAGTTACAGATTATTGTATTTATAAATTACATTTTGAACTGTTATATACATGTAGGTGTATATCTGTAGGGCAGTAGTCAGCTTACAACCAAATTACATTAGTGTTTGATTTCTGGGTGGGGCTGAGACACATGGGTAAGTCTTCTTGCACCTTCTCCTATGAAGAGGTACCTGGGTTTAATTAGCAATTGTCTATTGCATCCTAGGAGATATGTATTGAAATGAATGTTAAGGGAGCCTCAGTAAGTCAAGGTCACATTTTTACATGCTTTAAGGTAAAAAAAAAAAAAGGTTCATCATTTATAATTTTGTATGCTAGTTAGGCTTGTACTTTAGTGGTGTTTTACATTTTGCTTGTCAATTAAGAATAATTTACTTAAATTAAGAGAAACTGCAAAAAGTGAAAAGGAAATGAAATGTGTAAAAATTAGAATGTTAAAATATGAGATGATGATGATGCATCTAGCAGAATAACTACAGTGAGGTATACGGTCAGTTATTGAAGAACTATAGTCAGCTCTCTCATGAAACTCCTCCATATGGTGCAATTATTCATAAATATGGTCAAAAGAGCAAATCCAAATTTGAAAAGCACGTAAAAAAAAAAAGCCTTCATAATACATGATTTTTTTTTTTTTTTTTTTAACATGCTGGCCATCTCCCTCTGAGGTAGGGTGACCCAAAAAAAGAAACACTTTCACCATCATTCACACTATCACTGTCTTGCTAGAGGTGTGCAGATATGACAGTTTGGATGTCCGTCTAAACAGCAAATATCCCAGACCGCCTTATCTTCAATTTTGATGCACTTTTTTCAGTGGATTTGTAAAATAATGTGAAATATAAAATAGCTTTATAAAAACACTGTTTTATTACCAGACAGAAATACAGTTCATATACAGTGGAACCTCAGTTTTCGTCATTAACTCGTTCCAGAAAGTCTGACAAAAATCAAATTTGACGAAAACTGAAGCAATTTTTCCCATAAGAAATAAAGTAAATCCAATTAATCCGTTCCAGACACGAAAAAGTATTAACAAAAAGTACATTTTATAGAGAATAACTATAGTTTTACGTACAGAAAACAATGAGAAATATAAAGGACTAATAAAATGGATAAATGAACATTTAACATCACTTTTACCTTTATTGAAGATTCTTGTTGGCGTATGGAAGACAGCGAGGAGGGGAGAGGGAGGAGAGGTTCTCTCTACCACCCTCTACCATAATCACTATCACCCTCTACCACCATCACTACCACTCTACTACCACCATCACTACCACTCTACTACCACCCTCTACCACCATCACTACCACCCTCTACCGACAAGAATCAAAGCCAGACTGACTCAGAACATGTGGGATGCTTTGTGTGGGCATAGGTGGACACGTTCGGTACGGCGGACCACTGTCAACTCGACGAAAACTGAGGTGATGAACAAAAACGGGCAAAATTTTGACAACAAAAAAGTCATCGAAAACCGTATTCGGCGAAAACCATGGCAAACGAAAACCGAGGTTCCACCGTATTGAAAATATGATTCTGTCAAAAATACATTTATTTGTAGTTTTTTTTTTTCAAGATTATGGCCATGTATTCTACTATGACATACGACAAACTAATTTTTTACTCAATATTTTTTGTTTATTAATTTGCGAGAAGCAGTTATGACTATTTCACTAATTAGATTTTACAGTATTTGTTAATTTTATCAAAAATAATATATATTAAAATATTGGCATTACATAAAAATGTATGTTCCTCCATAGTCTTTCTTTGAACTATTTATTTCTTTTCACTTAGGCAATTCTAATTTCTTTTGAGCATTCTTGTTTTGTATGTATTGTAAGTGATGTGAGTTTCATGTAGAAAATTCAGCAAACATTTCACATTTTTGAAAATGGCTGGAGACAATTATGCTGTAAGTACATTGAAAGAATTATCAACAATATAGATAATTATTATATTCTCTTAACAGTTAAATGGTGGTGGGGATGTTGCTATGTTAGAACTAACTGGGGAAAACTTCAGTCCAAACTTACGTGTATGGTTTGGTGATGTGGAAGCAGAAACCATGTATCGTTGTCAAGAATCTATGCTGTGTGTGGTTCCCGATATATCTGCCTTTCGCAGGGGATGGCAGTGGGTCCGACAGCCTACGCAGGTAAACTACATAATTATTATTATTGTAAGATTCATTGGGGGCACTAAACCTATAGGGGTCATGCAGTACCTGGTGGAATGGGAAGCAATAAGGTTTGATCCAAGGAAGGGATATCAGGCCAATTCCATGAATCAAAAACCCCCTATCAATCAAGGAACCTCCTTTGAGGAGCTATATTTTTATTAATAACATGGAAATTTTATACCTAGGCACATTTATTGTACTGCATGGTGTATAGCATTAACAACAGTAATGATAAAATCTGAAATATTAAAGTATATTTTTAATTACAGTAGGGCCCCACTTATACGGCGGATTAGGTTCCAGGCTATCGCCGGACAGCAGGCTATCACCAGACAGCAGACATCGCCGGAAAGCAGAACGCCATTTTTTTCATTTATAAATGCATATAAATGCCAGACAACAAGTTTACACTAACTTACAAAAAGTTAGTAATAGAACTAGGCATTAAAAACACAAAAAGTAAAATGCATACACAGTACATTCATTACTTATCTTAGAGTATGTATTTGTAATCTTAATGTAGGGAGAGAAGTGAGTAGTACATATTTGTAGGAAGTCAGGTGTAGGTAGCCCTGGCTCCCCGTCTCATACTTAATATGCGATAAATAAAACAGCCCAGAGAGTTAAAATACACATAAAGTACACTCACTATTTACCTTAAAATATGTGTAGTCTTAATGTAGGAGGAGAGGCGAATAGTATTTATTTGTAGGAAGTCAGTGTAGGTAGCCGGTAGGTGTAGCCTGCCTGGGCTACACCTACCGGCTACCTACACTGTGGCTCAGAGCCCTATTATTAGCATCAACATACCTTGTTTACTGAATTTAATCGTTTCTAACAACTACCTTTAGATGCCATCATAAATGAAGGGAGAAGTAATGAATAATTCATGCCGAAAATTGTAAACAAAAGCGGAGTGGGGGAGTGGCTGGGCCAAACGCAGATTCATACACGTTTTCTCTGGTGGCTGAGCAGAGAAAACGTAATGTTGTCCCTCCACCCGGCTACCACACAGCTCCACAAGTATTATTATCAGAGCATATACAAAATATGCAATAAATGCCAGACAACAAGTTTACACTAACTTATATTAAGTTAGCAATATTATTATTATTATAATCAAAAAGAAGTGCTAAGCCACAAGGGCTATACAGCTAAGTTAGCAATAGAAATAGGCATTAAAAACACAATATAAGGTAAGGTACACACAGAGTACACTTATTACTTGCTTTAAAATTTTAATATTAATGTGTGAGAGGTAAGTGGCAGGGTGTTTATTGAATAAAATCAGAATGGCACACCATCATCCTCTAACTTGGCACTTAATTAAAGCAAGAGGCTTACGACTCCTCTTTTTATAACAGCTAAGCTTAGACGCCATTGTCGATGAGAGCCAACTAGTTAACGAAAGAGTAAACGAGAGAGAACGAGATAGAGAGTTCAGACAATGTAAAAACACAAACTGAACAGGTAGTGGGCGATCACTTGGTCAGGCGAAATAAATGCGTATTAATATGTGTGTACTTTTAGTTCATTCATGTATGTTTGTAAGAGTTTGTAATACTTTTACCTCACAATATTTTTTATTATAATAATAATTACGACACAATACAAATACTCTTACATTGTGTACAAGTTAGTACAGAATAAACAAATAACCACACTCCCATTCTCATGCAACACACCATTTTTAGAGTGAATGAAGATATTATTATTATTATCATAATAAAAAAGCGCTAAACCCACAAGGTTTGAGAATTGCTATATATAGAGTGAAGGCATACGAAAGGAATATTTTTCTAGAGTTATCCTCCAGTATTTGACTAGAGAAAACGTAATTCTTCCGACACTACCTACACGGCCGCTTTGTAAACAAATCTCATATTTAGGTAAATTTTTATTCTGTGAGTGTATGTATCATGTTTATATGCTATGTAACATGTTTCTTATATAATTTTGAGGAAAATATCATAGATGGATTAATGAAAATGTTTATATTAATGTAAAATAAGACATTTAATGTGCCCAAGAGTGATTATTATTATGTAGTACTGGCATCATGAGTAGAGAGACTCTTAGCGATTTTAATGTGTACCTGCACACCAGCACAGTGTGTAAGTATATTTAGGCACAGGTGCACATAATTATAATTATCAGAGTACATATAAAATACGCAGTAACTTTAAAACACTTGAAATTTGGAAAGTTTCCAGACATAATAGATGTGGTCACGAAGAATGTAAACATACCAGGTGGGGCACGCTGTATTTAAAAGACCGCTTGCCGTATAGCAAATTTTGGTCATAATTTGACATCGCCGTATTAGCGGAACGCTGTAAGGTGAAATGCCGTAAAGTGGGGCCCTACTGTATAAAATAATCTGATGGTGTGAGTTGGACCTGACTAGCTTGGGCTACCAGGTCTGGTGCCATGCTCCTTTCTTAAGTGGAAGTGACCTGACTAGGTGGTCATTGTTCTAGGCTGGGGGGGTGGCATGGACCTGCTTTGCATGGGTCAGTAGGCCTGTTGCAGTGTTCTTTCTTATATTCTTATGTAATCATCAGCTAAAGTATTATCCCATTTTCAGCTTTCATGTAACTGGAAAGAGCTTGCCTGGAAAGGATGGAAAATAATGAAAAAATACCATTTAGACTCCCATTCTATCACAATACTATTCACCACAGAATCATTATTATTTCATACATTAATTCTAAAGAACTAATCCACAAGAATTGTCATAATCAAATGCCACTTGCTCTGTTCCTCTTAAAGATGATTGTTTAACAGATCATTCATATTCAAATAATTTTCTCATTCACATTATCTACCCATCATTTCCAGTCTTTTTCTCAGCATCCTTAAATAAATAACATTCCTTATTTTATCTTCGTATGACACATTTTTCATATTGTCCATTCCTGCTACTTTACTCAGTCTTTCATGCTTCTGCAACTCCTGTTCTTTATATGCAGTAAATACCATAGAATTCAGACATTTGATACTTTATGTAGTCTAGACTTATTTGTTTTAACCACTTTATTTTCTTGATTGACTGTACGTACGTACTTGCAATTACTGGTATACTCACAGAAGTCCCTGTTTGTCACTAAGTAGCTTACAGATTCTTTCACTTTATCATTTTCTCTCTCATCCATACACAAACTCCAATATTCTAAATATTTATCTCTATCATTATTTGCTAGTAAAACTGTTATCTGTATATATTTGTATCATAAATTCACAGCTTTCTAGTCTCATTCAGTTTGTCCTCTCATGTAACTGCATCCATACATGCAATGAACATCCACGAGACATTATGCAGTGGAACCTCGGTTTTCGCATTGCTTCAGTTTTCGTACGATTTGGTTTATCATCAGACTTTTTCGAACGGATTAATCACAAAAACCGAGGTTCCACTATACAAACAAAAACAAAAGTCACAGTATTGTAAACAAAAAAAAAAAATCACAAGAGACCCACATTTTGGACTGTTCTGAACCATAATCAGTCACCTAATACAGTAACTCTAATACAGTAATTTTTCTCCAAGCCCATGCATGATTAATGCTTCCTTGGTCCTCTATTTACTTTAGCACTTTCCCCAATGATGATTTGATAAACCCTAGGGATCATTTGCTTATCATATAATTGCTGATGATTCATAACATCCATATACACTTGAAAATGTTTCTTGCATACTATCACTAGCTGCTTTGGTACAGATATCCACAAATTTTTTATTCCTCATTGTGAAGTCCACTTGTTCTGACAAATTTTTATTCTCCTTGGTATTACATTTTAATCTAAGCATTTCTCCCTTACTCCCTTAATAAATTTACTTTTTCTTTTTCAGGTTCCTGTTTCTCTAGTTCGTCACGATGGTATTATATATGCTACCAATCTTACGTTTACTTACACACCCGAGCCAGGGCCACGGCAACACTGCCCTCAGGCTGATGATATTATGAGACCACCTGCACATCGCTTACCACCAGCTTCTCTTCAAGAGGCTCCCACCTCCGCCCACCCCCTTCATCACACCTCACCGCCTGCTAATCCACTAGTACCTCTACAGTTTGAACCATCTCAACCTCTTCATGCTCCCACCCAGCAGCAACAGCAACAGCAGCAGCAGCATCAGCAACAGCAACAACAGACAGCAGCAGCAGCAGCAGCAGCAGCAGCAGCAGCAACAGCAGCAGCAGCATCTGTAGGGCTATGCCCTTGTCTTCCCTTACTTTGCCACAGCTGCCACAGCCTTTTATCACAGACATTTGCTGCTCTGAATGCCTTCAGAACAGCAGGGAGCTTTGTGAATTTTCAGTGGTGGCAAAGTGTACAGTGTTGTTTTGGTGGTTGTGCTGGGCTGTGATGTGCTCCAGAAACACACTTGCGCCTATTAACCAGTGTGGCTTTACTAAAAGTAAATTCAAATCAGCAGTTGGTAAATCCATTATGCAGTACCATGTGAGAGGAACAATATACTGCAGTGCCAAAATGGACACATTAATATGGATCCAGCTGATGCCATTCTTGTTATATGGGCAGACACTTAACAAGTGCAGTAGTGAGCACACTGGCAAGTGTTCACTTATTGTGATGTGCGTACAACATAGTTATGGTTTTGCAAAATTTTGTATCATCACGTCTGTATATGACATTCCATTTTTAATATGACCACACTCAATGTACAAAGTTGATTAGTATGTAGTGTAGAAAATTGCAAAGATATTTGTTTACTAAAAGGGAAAGAGCATCTTACACAAAAATTGACTAAAGGTTTGATGGAAATTGATATTTCTCTAGAGGTTCCTTCTACTATTTGTGATATTTTTGTACTTGTATGATTGAAAGTATTTTTAGATCTCAAATTTAGGTATTTAGATCTATTTCCTGAGTGAATTTTGTATTGTTTTATTTTTGTAAATATTTCACTAGATTGCATTCATATCTTTTGGTTCATTTAAAAAATTAAAAACCAATAAAACATGTAGGGTTCACTGAAAGTTACACTTAAAATTCAGCAGTGTACTGTTAGGCTGGTGTGGCTGTGTGTGGCATCCTACACTCCCAAACCTGGTGTCATACATGACATAATAAATCCACCTAATTAGAGTTTTATATTAGAATTCTTAACATTTATACAAATACTGTCATTAAAAGGGATTTGTTGTTTTTAAGTGTTGGAGGCTTTACCTGTACTTTTCTAATGAGTTAAGTGAGGTGTGAGAGTTGGAAACTGGTTGCCTTTTTAGTATAAGTCATTTTGCCTAATTTATTTTTTGTACTTACTTTGACAGCCTAATCTATCCTAAAACATAAAAAAAAGAATATCTACAGATAAGGTCTACATTTGGGAGAAGGACACCCACTTCACAGTCATGTATGAAAGGGTCTCTGATTCTGTAAGGTCACAGTTCACGTTAGATGATGAGTGTACTTTTAGTCACAAAGGGGCATGTGCCGTTGGTACTCGCCCCAGTTTAGCACACAAAAAAAATTTGTGATAGTGTACAGCAGTCTCTTTGTGTACAGTATTTAATATTCATTCATGCAATAAAGGTCAGTTTGTATAATCACCTTTATTTATCCAAGATTGTGAATGTATTACAGTAAAATCCTCAGTAGTTAACAGATACAAAACCTATCAAGAAAGCTGCCCTCATGTTGGTAAAAGTTTTTATTCCAAGGATTTAAACCTATTATTCCTTTCCTTGGAGTGAGCTCTTATTACCTTTTATTCCTGTGTGAAGCATGGCCCCTGTGGGTTTAACACTACATTTATGGAGAAATCACATCAAGGAAAAAAAAAGATTCTCTCCCCCTCCCCGGGAAAAAATAGTGAAATACAGTATCTAAATTCTTAGACTGGCTAGATAACTTATTTTTCCTAAATTTTAGCAAGAGTATGTTGGATTGCAATGTCAGTTTTGGCACAAAATAAAAATGAATTGGCAAAGAAATAATTTACATGTCAACCTGTTTTCCTTGGATGGAAAGGAGAAGCGAGTCTGTAGGTGATTCTATATCTGTGATTTTTCTATCGAGACGTGCAGATTTAGCTCAGTGCTTCTATTTTGACCATTGCCGCAGTGATGTGTTAATTTTATCTTCATTAGTGATACATTTCCATTCATATATTCAACATCTATATGACCTACTTACAGAAAACACACACTACTTATGTAATGCAATGCTTATAAGTATATGCTGGCTTGCAAGCAGTAGTGCACATTACCCCTGCAATAAGATGCAAAAAATCATTTTATGGTACAGTAGGGCCCCACTTATACGGCAGGTTAGATTCCAGGCTACTGCTGGAAAGCAGACATCGCCAGAAAGCAGAACACCATTTTTTCCACTTTTTTTTTTTTTTTTTAACAAGTTGGCCGTCTCCCACCGAGGCTGGGTGACCCAAAAAGAAAATACTTTCATCATCATTCAACACTTTCACCTCACTCACACATAATCACTGTTTTTGCAGAGGTGCTCAGAACACAACAGTTTAGAAGCATATACGTATAAAGATACACAACATATCCCTCCAAACTGCTAATATCCCGAACCCCTCCTTTAGAGTGCAGGCATTGTACTTCCCATTTCCAAGACTCAAGTCCGGCTATATAAAAATAACCGGTTTCCCTGAATCATTTCACTAAATATTACCCTGCTCACACTCAACAGATCATCGGTCCCAAATATCCGTTCATCTCCATTCACTCCTATCGAACACGCTCCCTGCACGCCTGCTGGAAGTCCAAGCCCCTCACCCACAAAACCCCCCTTACCCTTCCTTCCAACCTTTTGAGAACGACCCCTACCCCCCCCTTCCTTCCCCTACAGATTTATAACCCCTCCATGTCATTCTACTTGATCCATTCTCTCCAAATGGCCAAACCACCTCAACAACCCCTCTTTAGCCCTCTGACTAACACTTTTATTAACTCCACACCTTCTCCTATTTCCACACTTTCCCAATTTTCTGCATAATATTTACACCACACAACTGCCCTTAGACAGGACATCTCCACTGCCCCCAACTGCCTCCTCACTGCTGCATTCACAACCATATAAGAGTGTTGGTACTACTATACTTTCATACATTCCCTTCTTTGCCTCCATAGATAATGTTGTCTCCACATATACCTCAATGCACCACTCACCTTTTTTCCCTTATCAATTCTATGATTAACCTCATCCTTCATAAATCCATCCGCCGACACATCAACTCCCAAGTATCTGAAAACATTCACTTCTTCCATATTACTCCTCCCCAATTTGATATCCAATTTTTCTTTATCTCAATCATTTGATACCCTCATCACCTTACTCTTTTCTATGTTCACTTTCAACTTTCTACCTTTACACACACTCCCAAACTCATCCCCTAACCTTTGCAATTTTTCTTTAGAATCTTCCATAAGCACAGTATCATCAGCAAAAAGCAACTGTGTCAATTCCCATTTTGTATTTGATTCCCCATAATTTAATCCTACCCCTCTCCTGAACACCTTAGCATTTACTTCTTTTACAACCCCATCTATAAATATATTAAACAACCATGGTGACATTACACATCCCTGTCTAAGACCTACTTTTACTGGGAAGTAGTCTCCCTCTCTTCTACACACCCTAACCTGAGCCTCACTATCCTCATAAAAACTCTTAACAGCATTTAGTAACTTATCACCTATTCCATATACTTGCAACATAAATGCTAGATAACAAGTTTACACTAACATATTTTGAAATTTTGGAAAATTTACGGACATAATAGATATACATGTGCTCACAGAGAATGTAAACAAACTGGGTGGGGTGTGCCGTATTTGAAAAACCGCTCGCCGTATAGCAAATTTTGGTCATAATTTGAAATGGCTGTATTAGTGGAACGCCGTAAATCAGAGCCCTACTGTATGTGCCACCAACTCAAAATTAACAATCTGCATCTCTAGTGTCACCCTTATCCCCATTTTTTACCCTTTTTTTTATTTTTTTTTACCTCAACAGCCATCTCCTACTGAGGCAACATTTACCTTTCAGCAGTTATTGCCCCTGCAAGCCAATCCCAGACCAGACCTCTTGGTTGCAGTCCTGACTGACCAAGTTGGTGCTGGTTGTGCACAGTGTAGCATATGCACCACACCCTGTCAAGTCAGGAACAGATCCGAGGAATTTATCAAGTTCCTTCTTGAAAACAACCAGAGGTTTGTTAGCTTCTTCCCTTATGCATGAAGGGAAGGCACTGAAAGCTTGAGGTCCTCTTACACTTTGATTTCTTTCTTAGTGTATTTATCACACTGCTGCTTTTTATTGTATGCATGCTGTACTGTCTGCCAAACCAATTGCCTTCATAATGGAGTGATTTCAGTATGCAGGTTTAAGATCAGTGCCTCCAGGATCTTCTAGGTGTAAATTATGATGTACCTCTCTCACCTATGTTCCAAGGAGTACAATTCAAAAGACTTCAAGCATTCCCAGTAGTCAAGATGTTTGACTGAATTTCCAGCTTTGTGATCTCTCAGCCTCGAAGGGGGCAGTTAGTATACAGCAATATACGAACCTGGAGAAAACAAGTGACTTTAAGAGTACAGTATATATGATCAATGACCTGGCATCACATTTTAAATGTTCTAGTTATCCAGCCTGTCATTCTAGTTGCAGTAGGAATAGCAACAATGTGATCCTTGAATGTGAGAGCCTCAGACTTCTGGTCTTCTAGATGATTCTAGTTCATCTCGTACCCAGTTTTTTATAGTTCCTCCATTCTTCTATAGTGAAGAAACTAAAATTTGTCCTCACTGAACATCATATTGTCTGTGACCCACTGGAAGACTTGATTTATATCTGCTTGAAAATTTGTGTCCTTGTGGCATGCAAAGAGTACGTACCCTTTATTCGGCGCATGTACACACCCTCATTTACAGGCTATCTCCCCCAACCAGCGAACCAGGTTGCTAAGAGTTGATGATGGGGCCCCGTCGTTCAACTAGTGACCAGGTTCTAGCCAATAAGAAGATGGTTTTGGCAATTGCAGAGGTTATGTGGGTACCACTCTCCTGTCTGCCCTGGTCATTTCCATTCTAGAGCTGGTTGAAGCATGGTCTGCTATCTTGTGGCTTCTATTTCTGCCTTGCTTACCGTGGACTGCACTATACTTATCACTGTACATAGTGTACATATTGCTGTTCTAAATTGGTGAAGGATAATATAAGTCTAAACTTTTTCTGCTGTGTTTATTTTGCTCCCATTACACCCGGGATAACAGGCCATTTGGAATCCTGGGTTGTAATAGTCCTCAATGTCTGTCATGCAGAAATTCTGCTGGTATCATCAGCAAATGATGAAACTGCTATGAATCATATCCTTGTCTGTGTTAGATATGAAAATGAGAAACAGAAGTGGGGCGAGTAAGTGCCCCGGGGAACAGAGCTTTTCACCTCTGCAGCCTGCAACTTCACTCTGCTCACTACTACTGTCTGGGTTATTTATCAGGAAGTTGAACATCCATCTGCCCATTTTTCCAGTCACATTTGTCGAAGGCTTTTGAAAAATCAGTGTACAATACATCAGCATATCCACAAAACATTGTTGTAATGGTTTAGCAACTGTGAAAAGCAGGAGTGGCCTGTTCTAAATCTATGCTGCTCTTGGTTGGGTAATTGTGATTCCATGTGACTGGCAATGTTGCTTCTTAGGACCCATTCAAATATTTTGATAATGTGTGACATTAGCACTATTGGTCTACAGTTTCTCAGGATTCCCTAGCAAGGGCCAACAGGCCTACTGCAATGCTTTTCCATTCTTACATTCACCTGATGGTTGTGTCCCAAGGTGGGTTGGGCAATGTGTATTCTAGAAGCATATGTGCCAACATTGCAGATATGTTACAACTACCTGCTTTCTGCACTTCTGTATTTGTTACTGCTAGCAGGGATGTTTCTAAACACTGGCATCTCCATAAATCTGACTCCCTGACCACCAGCTGAGTTTCACTCACTTCTTTAAATGACTGTGTGTGTGTATGTACGTATGTATGCATCATGCAGGCATTACTTTGGTTATTCTTGCTATGTGCATATTTATGTTCCTTGATCCTAGAGGATAGATTACTATCAATCCTCCCCACATACTTGTTGCAATGTCTGCATGGGATAGTGCAAACAACAGAGGTAAGTATACTAGGAAGTAGCATAGGCTACTTTCTGGCAAGATCTCTGGTGAATGCGATAGCTGTACTGGCCACGATATTACTAGTGCCACATCTTCACACTAAGTACAGTACATCTTTGTGGTGCATTCTGAAGGTGTAGTGTTCAAGATGGCCCGAGCTCATCAACTGCTGTCCTGCATGAAGAAAGTGGGGTAGTGAAGACCTATGAAGGTTTGTAGACTGCAGTATTTTTCCTTGAGGCCGAATGACCCATGCTAGACAGGTTCTGCTCCAATCATTCCCTTTTAACTTGTACTAAATATATGTCTAACCTATTGTTAAAGTAACCCAAGATTATCAGCTTGCCTGACCTCACTGAAGTTCAGCTTACCTAAAATGCACCTTTCCCTATATAAACCTATA